TTCCGACCTGAGGGGCTCATCTTCCGGCGTCATATCTTACTGAGCAAACTCAGGGAGGCAGTGAAGGACAGGAAGGCCTGGCGCAATATGGTTCATGGGGTCACGAAGAGTCGGACACGACTTAACGACTGAACAACAACATAGAAACATAAGGATACTGGGTACATGAGAAATAAAACTAAATTAAAAATTGCATTAATTTGCTATACTCGATATTGAGATGTTGGGGGCAAAACACACCCATGCATCCTGGAACAATGGGGTAAGAGCTATAAATAACATTGCTGCTTATGAAGAAGTAAGCTATGATATATCTGTCGTCCCAGACACAGAGGTTAAATTGAAGAAGATACAAAGAAGGCATGTGTCTCCAGCTTTGTAAGAATGTGATGAATGCATGAAAGTTTTTCAGTATTTTGGAAGCACACCTCTGAGAAATTCATAGCTTTACTACTGTATCATAATTGTTAGTACGCTGGAAAATTAACACTATGTGAAATTTGAATGGGCAGTACAAGAATATATTTTGCTGATCTAAAAACTGTTCTGTTTTTCTTTTTTTAATAAAACAACTTAAAACTATACCTCTGAAGCAGTATAACGATTAATTAAGAAAGTGGCATTTCAAGAAATAGCAACAAGAATTACACACAAAAATTGTGTTGCCGGATCAAAGTAGTGATCTTTACAATCTGCAATTCCGAATACCTAAATAGAACATGGTGATGTGCCCATTTGCTGTTTGATTTCACAGGTAAACCGTTTCTGAATGCAAAGGAAAAATGTAAAGTGAAGTGGCTATATTATAAACACCCAAAGCAATCATGTGAAAGTGGAAAAAACCAAAGCTGCTTTAATGATTCAAAAAAAGGTGGCTTGTATGCCCTTTTGTACAAGCCTGAAAAAAGACATAGCAGCTTTAATGAGTCAATTCATTAAAAATGTGGTGCACATATTTTGAAGCATTTCTGAATCATTTTCAAAGCATGCAAAATCTTATTGTTTTGTTCCTTCCGGACCTAAAGGTTATTTCATACAAACTCCAGCAAATGTAATTGCTATAGTACAGTAAAAGTGTTTACTCTTTTAAAAAATTGCACATGAACCGGATTTCATCTTCCAGATCAGTGACTCCCAATCTTGCAGCTTCCAAGTCCCAGAGTTCCCTTGTCTGCATGGCTATTGCTGAGAATTTTGGGAGTTGAAGTCCACACATCCAGAAGTTGCCAAGGTTGAGAAACACTGACTAGATAATCAGTTGAAGTTACTACCAGGGTGGAGGAGAGAATAAAAAATAGCCTCAGCATATTGCCACATGACTCCATTGTTAACGGTAAATCTCTTATAACCATTTTGTGTGAATTTGCTACCAGCAGAGACCTTGGATTATACAAATCATTATTTATTTATTTATTATTGTCACAGGAGATAGAAACACTCACTAAAATGCTAAAATAATTTGTTTAAACATTAAACAACAAAAACAACATTGCATTTGCCCTATTTGTCATTAACAGGGAAATCAGTTGCAAATCAAGGGCTCATCTTTCATGTTTTAAGCTGTGTTTTGAGGCAGAGAAATCTTGTGCTAGCATTTCAGCCTGATACTATCACTTCAGTGTGGCTCCTGTGTGGTCTGCGGCTTGTATCCACCAAAGAAAATGCCATTTTGGGGAGTCTGTTTATCTTCCTTGTATAAGTAGCCTAAAATATGATAGATAAGAAAAAAAATGGGAGTACTTATTGCGAGCCCCCATATGAAGAGGAAGACATTAATATGTGGCAACTACTGTGTCTGGAACATTGTTCTGCCCAAGATTCCATCCTGTCCCTGTTTAAAAAAGCCCTTAAAACCTGGCTCTATTCCCAGGTCCTGGGTTAGAAAGGGTAGTTCACCCCTTGTGGGATATTTTGGTCTTTTTTAATCAATTGATTTTATCCTGATTCTCTTTTGATGATATTTTTGTGTTTTAGTTATTGTATCTTGAAAGTCACCCATCCAGAGTCACAACAGAATGGAGAGGCCTCTAAATTGAATAAATACATAAGTAAGTAAATAAGTAAGTAAATATTTAAAACCATTTTCTTATGATTTTATCTGCTAACAAAATTCAGGCTACAGAGAAGTTATTTGCTCACACATATTTGCTCATGTTTATTTAAAATAATTTTAAAATGGTAAGAATAATGATTGCTATGCCTAATGTGCACCTCAGGAGAACAGCATGCCTCTGTCCCTCTGAACCAGATGTCAAGTTGCTGGTCTTGAACAGCCAGCAACAGCCAGGTAGCCTGTGGGCTTTCTCTTGGGTGTCCATTCCCATCTAAGTCTCTGACTGAGTTTGGAGCTGCTGGTCTGCCTGTTTGCGACTCATCAAATGCCAATTCTAGGTGCATGGCAATGAATGAATGAATGAATGAATGAATGAATGAATGAATGAGAACTAAGGGAAGAGAGAAAGAGACATCTTAACAGATTTTATCTCCTGGATAATTTTGTGCATCAGCCACTACTTCATCAGAAATATGAACTATTATATTGAAACACATACGTAAATAATGAGAGAACCAGTTTGATGTAGCGGCTAAGGCATCAGGCTAGAAACTGTGAGACCATGAGTTATAATCCTACCTTTGGCACAAAGCCAGCTGGGTGATCTTGGGCCAGTCACTTTCTCTCAGCCCTTGGAAAAAGGCAATGGCAAACCACTTCTGAAAAACCTTGCCAAGAAAACTGCAGGGACTAGTCCAGGCATTCACCAGGAGTCAATACTGACTCCAAGGCACAAAAGACAAAGCATGTAAATAAGGGGGTCAATAGCCACCACAGATGTTAGCTCAGCTTCCTAATAGCTCTGCCAGTGGGAGAGGAACCACTGTCTCTATTGAATCATAGTGTCATAAAATGGGAATGGCTATTTAGGACATTAAATTCAACCTCCAGCACCAATCTAACAGATGGCTGTCCAGCCTCTGCTTGAACACCTCCAAAGACAGGGGAGCCCAGCCCAGCCCATTACTGGGTGCATACCACTCTGGATAATGGTTCCGGTGTCAATCGGTGGTTATTCTTAGTAAATCTTTGCACTGAATTGTATTATTGGATTTTAATCATTTTTAACTTTATTGTAAACTGTTTCAAGATGTGACTAAAGAGGAAGCATTATATATTAAATAAAAAATAATAACCTGCACTCTGAATAAATGTCTCTTATAATCCTAAATGGGTGAATGGGCGCACTATGTTACATCCTGCAGATTATACAACGGGCGCTTTGCAGTAGCCTAAAAGCCAAGAGTCAATTGCCTAATTGTTATAAATAAAACTAGCATTTGGACGAATTTGTTGAAATTTTCTCTGCTCATCTCTCTATTTTGCAATTGTTGCTGCCATTTTGTGAGCAATGTTTTCAGTATCAAAATTACAAACTGAGAAAGAAAGCACTATTCTCATTCTGATATAGCTTCCGACCTAATCACACATCTCAATGGCCATCCTCAGGAGCCAAATCCAAGTGAGGTCAAGTTTTCTGCAGTGGTATTTGGTGAGTAAAGGTAATACCACACCAACAGCAGGAGCAGGATTGCCATTGCTAGTTAATTTTATCCTTATTTTGCCCTATTGGCAGCTTCTTAACAAAATTACAAAGGGGTCACACACCCAATTCTCTGAATAGGAATTTTTGATTCAGCTCTAAAAGCACCACAGTTTTTAAAAATTTCTTTAAGCCTTATTGCTTTAAGATTATAGTGAATAAATTTATGCTAAACTTTTAAGCTGAAATTTTGCTTAGTAGACTGAGAGATTTCTGTATGATAACATGTTAAAAATTTAGATATAACTTTGAGAAAGATCCTGTCTCTTTTACCAGCATGTAATAACAGTCTCTAAGAGTAGCAATGGAGAAACAGCAAATAGGAGCAGGAGAAATTAAAAAGAATTACATTCCAGCACTCAAGATGTCTCCTGTACAATACAGTATTGCCAAAATTAACTCTTGTCAGTTACTTTATTCCTTATTTGGCCTGTTTATAGCACCAAGAAACTCCTTCCCCCAGTTTGGCAGCCTCTGAATAACAACTTGAATTCAACCATAAAAGAACTGCATTTTATTATCTTAAATTAGTCATTATCCAATTTAATTATTGGAAGCCTCTTTCTAATAGTCTGTTACCAATGAAAGAGATAATATATCTTCTTTTTAAAACCCTCAGGTTTTATTCTTAGTTAGAATGCTTTTCTTCTTTTTGCCTGTATTGACACATAATATTACAGGTAACAAACAATCAACAGGAGGAAAATTGTATTTCCTGAATAACAACAACAACAACAACAACAACAGGACATGTCATATTTTCAAAACAGAAATGCCTTTTCTGTA